ATTATAGTCTAGTCTTTTATTTTAGAAAAAATAAACTCTTTATGTTTTTTTGCAGTTTCTACCAGTAAAATAGCACTGATTTTTAATTAGGAAAAAAATATTAACATAGCTACTACTTTTCAACTGTAACTCAAATAAATGCGATTTAAAAAAAATGTTATGTTTAAAGATGACTTTTTTTTTTTTAGAAAATTCTGCTTGTTAACTTTCGTTACTATCCTTATGATATGAAAGATCTTGACTCCACCCACCCACAACACGCCTCTCAATATTTTAACTCAGCCACACACCCTCCCACAATCCTTTATCCAATTACACAACTAGAACTTTAGCCTGATAGTCCAATATCCCTCTTCTCAAGAGGTTTGACTCGCGTGTCGTGTTAGTTCACTTGTAACGGGTTTTTACCACCAAACATAAGACGGCGACATGATAACGCTACAGTTGTTGAACTCGACATGGGTGTGGTATAAACACAGCGTGAGCTAACGACAGATTTATTCCAATTTATATCCTCCAAATGAAGTCTTGAACCAACTCTGTATCTTGTACATCTCAACAGTGGCGTAGCGAGGTCGGGTGTCACCCGGTGCGGCACTTAATGGTGTCACCCCACCCCCCCCCCCCCCCCCCCCAGATGCGTTGCGACTCTTTCCGGGGACAAACTTTTAAGTTTTCGATTTGCACCCCCCCCCCCTCAAACTTTCGATTTGCACCCCCTCCCCTCAAGTTTTCGATTTGCATTCCCCCTCAAACTTTCGATTTGCACCCCCCACCCCCCTCAAGTTTTTCTCTCTATATTTTGCTATTTTTTTGCCTTGGTGTCACCCCTCCTAAATGGTGTCACCCGGTGCGATCAGCACCCCCCGACCTCACCCCCCCCCCCCCTTGCCACGCTCCTGCATCTCAAGATTTAAGATAAAAATGTTTAAATAAACATTCATTTTTGCGAGCTTTAAGCTAAGTTTGTATAAGCATTCAATTTTGTGAGCTTTAAGCTAAGTTTGAATAAGCATTCGTTTTTGTGAGCTTCAAGCTAAAATAAAATGTGAATATACGTTTGTTTTTTTGTTCGTTTATTTTTCAGTTTGTCCGCATTGAATATTGTATTTTTATTATAAACGGATTTACTTTGTTAAAAAAGACATGATTACTTTGTTTCTGCCTTCATTAAACAAAAACTGTGTGGAGTGTACAGGAAATAATTTTTTTATCGACTTTCAACTGTTCTAAATCAGACTGTTCTTGGATTCAGTTGAAGAGAGAATTTTGTCTTAAAACATAATAAGATGGATCTTTGTAAGTGGTTTATGTTCTTGACCTTTGTCATCAAACAAAAAGTAAGTAGTAAGAACCACCTCTAGGCCAGCATGTGCTGTTAATTTTATGCTGAGACCTTTCAATTGAAGAGGTGGCCTGAGTTAACACAACTCATTATTAAGAGACTTTTCAATTGAAGCTGGCCGAGTAAACACAGCTCACCAATATTTTGTAAACACGTAAAATGAAGAGAGATCGTGCACACAGAAAAAAACAGCACATTTTTTAACCACCCTCCCCTCCTCTCACTTAATAAAACGTTATTTATTTCCTTTTAACCCACACGTCAGGTTATCTGCATGTCACCATATACAGAAGTCTCAAAAGTTTATTAGGTCGACTAAATGCTGTTGTACAAATAAAACACAGATAGGAAGAAAGAAAACCAAAGACACATGTAATGAAATGTGCAAACTCCCCCTGCCTGTTTAAAGGTATGTACACGATATGTCATCCAGTTAACTAACATTAATTTTGTGGCTGTCAGAAATAAATTGTGAGTGATCAAATTAATTATAATCACACTTATTTAATGAATAGTGTTTGCTTTCTGACTAGCACTTAGCTGCTAAAGCTTGTTTAGTAAATGCTGCTAAAATAGAGGGGGAAGAAGAGAGAGGTTAGCCAAAACATTGTTCTATTTTACAGGGGTAAAATATTTAGTTGACTTCAGCTGACCCATACATTTGACTAAGGCCTCGCGCTTAAGACAGGACAATAAGAGGTCAACAAATTTTGAATGCGAAGTTTAAACCTGAGTCCTATGGTTTAAAAATACTTTCCTCTCACGACCTTGCTACGTAATTTAATAGTCATAAACTGTTCAAATTTACAATTATTTAAAGTTAAAGGTAAAACAATAATCTATTGTATTTTTTTAAATGAACATAATATGTGTTGTTTCTCTTTTCTTTCCACTGAACATCTTGCAGCAATCGATTCGATAAGGCTAAGGTGCTGTTTCCAAAAGAATATCTTATCATAAGTTATTATGTAATTCAATAATCATTAGAAAAATATTACTTAGAAGTTTATTTTAGTTGAAGTCACTTTAACAAAAAGTCAACAAATTGTTAGTGTTTATTACTCTTAGTTTATATTTCTTGTGTCTGAGAGTCTGAGACAAAATGCCACAACCAGGTACCTGAAAGCTCCATCAACAGGAGACCAATGTTTAGTGCCACGCGAATCTCAAATCTCATACACCACACGGTACGCTGTGGACTAAAACGTGGAAGCAAATCATTAGTTCAGTTACTATTTAAAAGTATCGTGTAACTTGGAAGGTTTTTTTTATTCCATACAAAGACTTAAAAAGAACATGTTCCTATAGTTGTCAATTCGTAAAGCGGAAGATACGGTTTACACTTTAAACGAAATAACAGATTGCTTCTTTTCGTTGTTATTTTGTTTTTCGAAATATCTTCACTCCTCGCCCGTTGAAATCCATGTAGAACACAACTCTGAAAACATAGACTGAGCGTTTCAACGTTTTATAACGAAATGACACAAAACTTTGCTCAATAAAATACCGTTAAACATCCACCATCGACCTTGAACTTACGAGATATAGATTAAGAACTTCATATGTTAGCTTATTTCAGTTTACGTTTCAAGTTTCAAGAGTTTAAGTGTTGATGTTTGTGAAATCGTTCGCTTTTATTAATTTGTTCAAGCAAGGTACAACTGTATAATGTCAAGTATACGTTGTTGACCTAATTCTATTGTAAGTTGCTCTGATCACTCTGCTATAACCATTCCTTATAAGGATATTACACGCCCAGCACAAAGCTCCAATAGCTTTTTCACAAAGATGTTATTTAAGGAATATAATATTATAAGTATATTTATATGCATATTATATATATATATATATATATATATATATATATATATATATATATATATATATATATATATATATATATATACAATTGTTTTTGGTAGTTATATATACATAACTGTTTTCTTGCTTTATGTTTGTCATTGTTTTATGCGAATTGTTTCTACTACTTTTTAAACTCTTTTAAGTAAGTTTTTTTATCCCTTCGAAACTGCAGTAAAATAGGTTTAATATAAAATGTTGACAATCAATGGTGTACTTAACATGACTTAACAGGTTAATGTTATGGCTACAGTTCATAAAACCATTTAACTAATCTTTTTGGTCATCATCACTCTATTAATCATTAACATCTTTACACACGACATCCGCTGTTCTGCTGATTGCAATGGTCGTCACTTGTTTGAAAGCGGATTACCTGAGGAAACTGAAGACAATTGATTACTTATCATACTCTACACCAGGGGTCTCCACGAGGCCCTCTCATCCGGCACGTAAAGATCTTTTTGTCTAATAATAATTCATTATTGTTAGTTTGACCTTAATTAATTTATTTATTATTCAAATAAGGTTCGATGTCAGAAATTTTTTTTAGAAAGAAATCGATGTTTTAAAAAGATAGAAATATGTAAGCTGAGGTGTGACTTCTTTTTACATGCTAAACTAACCCACCCTAACTAAATGTATCCCACCCTAACAGATGACTAGATCCTTACTACATTATCCTTACTCTAACTAAGACACCCCCCCCCCTAACTTAACCACTCCACTTGTCTCGCCCCCAACTAAACCTTCTCACCTAGCTAAACGACGTCAAATACTATAAGGGAAAAGGGGGGGGTGGTTCTTACGTGGATGTGCCTCGTAAACGAGAATTGAAGTGGTGGTGGGGGGGGATGAAATGTGAGGAAGTGTTACGGGTCCGATGAAGAATTTGTACATTTTGTTAAAGTACACGGTGTGGGGAGTGGGGTTGATTTTTAGAAGGCTGTCGATTTAATTTAACATCCAAAACAGTTTCAAAGCTAAAATCTAACGAACGTGTCCAGATAAGTTCCGCCACTAATACGAACTGTGAATGGGCAAAAAGTTAAGTCCCGCCACTTGTGACCTATTTCTGATGTCTTGACATTGAATATTTAAACGCACGCCATAAAAAAACGTATCCGACTCTTGGGTTGGGGTAAGTGTTGGGGTTGGTGTTAGTGTTGGGGTTTGGGTTTGGGTTGACAGTACAAACATACAGACATATGTATGCAAATTTTTACTGACATATCCCAATTGATATATTTTATCTTCAAAACAGATAGCAAAATATTTTAAAAACATTTTCTAAATTCAATTGTTTATATCGTTTCTGCATCGTAATTTAAAACAATAATAACATTTTCCCGCGCATGTCCAAGACACACGGGATAAAGGTGACTTATTTATATATTCCTCGGCATACAGGGGGATAGTGTGGTCAGCACGATGCCAAGCCGCCTTGGTTTCTTTAACGTTAGCAAGGTAACCATTAGAGCTGGGTAGATAAAACTCAAACCTGGGATCTGAAGTTTTAATCTAGCAGTCACAAGCTCTACTATCAAATCACGCCATCAATTATAACAAAAAACAAATTGTTTAACATAAAATAAAAAGTGTATCGAGATAGCATTAAACTTGACCTTTACAACGTAGCAATAAAATAACAAAACAAACTGTTTTATGTGTTTTTATGAGATTTTATTAATCTAAACTTTAATCCACCGGTAAAAGGTATGATGCTTTAACAAGTTTCCAGTGAATATTTACAGATACATATATTTTCTGTTATAGGTTTTTAAAAACTCGGGCCCTGGAGATAAGGTGTATATATTAAAACAGAGAGTGGACAACTGGCTAACGGTGTAAACTTCTATTAAATTACTTCTATGTAGTCTGGCATATTCCTATATACACGCGCATCTAAGCCATCTGCAACAAAACATAAGATAAATAATTATAGTTATCTTGTTAACTGCTTTTATAAAAAGCAAGTAAATTTGATATACAAATAATTAGAAGTTTTAATACTTTAACTTATTTTAAGCCAAATGTATATGTGTGTCTTTCTATTGTGGGAGCTATATTTAGTGCCGTAAATACTGCTTCAAAAAATCACGGTACACCCAACTTTGTGTATGATTGCTTTAACTATACAAAAAATCAAACTCTTCATGTAAAGTAATAGATTTAGTACCTGAAGATTCATAACGATTGTCCTCTTCAACTGTGTCCTCATCAACTGTGCTGTCTACGTTCATGTCGAGGTAGCTGTGCTCTCTGCTGTTGGCGTCTGGTGTTGCTGTACTGTAAAGGTGAAAGTCCAGGTACGTGTGGTCATTACGGTTGTCATTGACTGCTACAGTTTGGCTTACTCTCTCTGAGACAAAACTTCTATTCCTTTTACTAGAAAAAAATGAAATGTGTTTATGCTGATTATTTCAAATCGCTAATTTCGCGAACACGTTTTCTCTCTCTATTTAAATATATGTTACGGCCAAAGCCAGAAGTGCAGCCAAAGCGCGGATTGGCCGGCCAATGCGCGCATTGGCCGGCTCTCTAGGCCAAAGCCCGAAGAACTTAGCACTAAGATCGTATTTCGTAAATTGGCCGGCCAATGCGCGCACTGGCCGGGACGTACTGGCCAAAGTCCGAAGTGCTTAAACTTGATAGCGTATTTTGTACATTGGCCGGCGCACTGGCTGGGATGTCCTGGCCAATGTTCTATCTAGACTAAGTTGTGATCGCGTTTTCATTATTCTGGGTGCGGTTTCATTGTGAGTAACGTATTGTTTAGCTTTTGTTTGTATAGCATTCTATATTCAAGGCGACATGGATCAAAAGAAAAAAAAATTCTACCGTTTTAGCCTGACTTTTCGTAGCAGGCTAAATTTTCGAATATGATTGAAATGCCGATTCTGGATAGAAATCCGTTTTCAAAGACATTTTTGTTTTAGGTTAAATTTGACGTTGAGGTGGAGATTTTGGTTTATGTTTCGGTTTAAGGAAAAAGACAACACTATCAACCTAGCACCCGTTCAAGTTCTCCCTCAACGGGCCATTTATCTAGTATGTCTAAGTATAAGGCTCTGCTTAGGGTAAAGAATAATGATAATGATAAAGATAAGGATATGCATAGGGATAAGTATAAAACAACGGATAAGTATAGGGATAAGTATAAAACTACGGATAATGATAGGGTTAGGATTAACCTGCTTGTTTGTGTGTTTAATGAGCTATTACTTGCTAGACTATCATACATGGTTTAAATACGGTGTTAACTATTGATGAAAAGGATTAAGTTTAATGGATTAGAATATCGGCTAATAGCAGTACAGAAAAACAAAGTTCAAACTAAGTTTAAACATACATGTGACAGACGTAGACCAAACGCATTCCAATGATGACGATAAAGACAGCCAGGACAGCAACCACGCTCACTACCACCAAAAGTACGTCTGCTCCACGTTTTGGTTGCGCTGTATTTGTGTTTATGTCTAAAGGACGTAAACGTGTGTTAAAATCAGTTGTCGGTAATTCGTCTTTTTTTCTTCAACTATTTTATTCAAATACAAACTATTTAAAAATAGTTTAAGCTTATACAATGTGCTATAGTTATTTGACTCAGCTATTTTTTTTAAATAGTAGTACCTTCTATGTTGGTATAGTGGGATATGCATTTAATGCGATAGCTCTTTTGTGCTGGAATAAAAAAAAAACGCCGTTCCATTTAGTTCTGTGTTAATTTAGATGCAACATTCAAACTAAGTAATACGTTTTAAAATGATTTCTTTTAATACCTTAAAACAGTATATGTGTTATTATTTCATCAGTGTTTTTGTCAAATATTTTTCTCATGGGGGAGGCGGGGGGGGGGGGCATAGAAACGTTGTAGGGGAGGCAGACTTTAATTTAATTTTTTTGGGGAGGGGGGTAGGTGACTTGTCAAAGTATATATTTGGTATATAAATTACATTTTTACGAGTGGTTGGGGCGGTAGTCGTGTAGTCAAGTAGACGTGTTTGGGAAGGGGAAGGGTTAGGATCCCCACGGAAGAAATTCCTGAAATAAACTATGTTTTTTATTTTACAATATCGTGTAAGTGTACCGTTTATTTCCATCCACAGAAATCCTCTCGTTAAATTTATTTCTATTTTAACGGTTGGGCACGTCATCGGCATCAATCTGAAATAGTAGTTAAACATTCCTAAATACAAAAATACATGCATGATAAAATAAATTTTAAACTTAAATGTTATTGCGTTTTTTAAGTCACCTAATTTACATTTTGCTCGTGAGAACTTGATGGGAAAACGTATTAGAAACAATAATAGAATTCTGTTTTGTTGATTCTTTAATAAAAGTCATTAGGTAAACATGTATTTTAACCATAATCTGTACAACCTGGATACGTTAAATTTGACAGTCTGGTTGCAGCCTGTGAGTTTAACTTGGTCATCTCCTGATAAAGTCCTATCCTCGTTAAACTCCAGGTAAAGAACTGTCACATTGACAGCGCCAGTCTTGTCGGCATCAACTACGTCACATGAGGTGTCCAGTGTTTGCTCCGGTCTTACCACTAGGTACATAGGGTCGTATATGTGTGTTATGGTTTTGCTTAGTCCTGTTGTGAAGAAGCTGATATCCCAATTTAATAATTCCACACCTGAAAAATGAGACTGGTTATTCTTCCAGAATGTTATCTTAATTGTCTAACTTACAAACAACTTAAAGCATTGGTCACTGTGTGAAATTTTGTTACGAGTCTACTACTTTGGAATCATATTCACTTAGTGGTATGTCTGTTTGATTGTCATTATTAAAAAAGAATTTTAAAATAGCAAACGTAATAATTAATTAGCTCGTTTCTACTATGACTATCGTTATAACTGTTATAACTTGAGAGGTTGACATAGCATACAGGCTAAGGGGGAAGGCTCCGGTAAAAAAACTTTTTTAATACTCGTTAGAAAACAGTTATTTCTTTATAGTTTTATTAAGATACATCCGCATATGCATTTCCACTTTAAAAAATTGGTGGAAAAATCTTGGTAACTATGACAACGGCGGCCATCTTGGAAAATTAACCCCTTCGTAGGTTTTCCACCATTCATAAAATATTACATTTTAAACCCAATAAACAATCAATTCATAATCTTCTTCCATATTTTGGGGTAATCAGCTAAAAATTTTAAGTGCATATCTTCAAACTAATTTTTTATGAATTTTCAAAATTTGTGTCCGTTCAAAACACTTAACTTTGGGGAAATTTGGGGCATTAAAACTAGTGTTTTAAACAGACACAAATTTTGAAAATTCATAAAAAATTAGTTTGAAGATATGCACTTAAAATTTTTAGCTGATTACCCCAAAATATGGAAGAAGATTATGAATTGATTGTTTATTGGGTTTAAAATGTAATATTTTATGAATGGTGGAAAACCTACGAAGGGGTTAATTTTTCAAGATGGCCGCCGTTGTCATAGATACCAAGATTTTTTCAATTTTTTTTTTAGTGGAAATGCATATGCGGATGTATCTTAATAAAGCTGTAAAGAAATAACTGTTTTCTAACGAGTATTAAAAAAGTTTTTTTTACCGGAGCCTTCCCCCATGGAGCTAGATTGCAATTTAGCTCACATATGCTAAACAATGTTTCTAATTTAAGATTGGCACTGTTAGATTTTTTTTTAATTTTATAACATATTTCAACATATTTTGAAACACAACCGTCATTTTTTTTTTTAAATTAGTCATAACTTTAATAAAAATTAAGAACAGTAATAAAATATACTCTAAAGATTATAAAAAGACAGCTTATGTTTACATTCGTGTATAATATTCACTTTTGAAAAGGCGTATGCTGGTAAAATTGTGGATAGTTCCACTGGAAGATTATCCAAGTTACACTTTTTCTTAGCATCACAGCTACGTCTGATGACATATTTGAGTTTTTCCTCTTTAGCTTCATCTTTTCTCTGTCAATATGTGTAATTAAAAAAACGTTGTTCAGAATATAACAATTTTATAATTATTTGAAAATTGTGTTGTTCGGGTAAAATTTGTAAAAGAGTAACAACATCACTAACATTTTTTCCTCCAACAATATTTTTTTTTTACTTACATCGTCTACAACACCAGATAACCCACGTCAAAATGTACACCCCCCCCCCCCCCCCCCGCATGCACTGTGGAGGGGGGGGGGACTTTTTTGTGTAAAGGGGGAGAGGAAATTGCTGAAATGAACATCTTGTTGAAGTCTACCAAGCTAATCTAAGATTATTCTTGTTACCGTTAGGTTAACCTAATCTAAACTTAATCTAAATATATATGGTGTTTGCTTATCTTAATCTAAGATTACTCGAAATCTATATGCGTCTTGCTTAGCCTAATCTACGCTAAATCTCAACACTTATCATCTATAAAGGTAAAGAACAATCTTTAGACCAAGCAACCGATTGTGCAGATGAAGTAGAGTTCATATGTTTCTTGACCAATGTGGTCAGCGCTTTGCCCAGCCACCTTTACTTTACCTAACGTAAGTTAGGTACCCATCAGGGCTTGTTGGACTCCTACAGGATATTCTACTGACTTGGACATGGATTCGAACTCGAAACTTTTGGGTTAGCAGCTCTACCTCTTAGGCACGCCGTCCAATAATCATCTATAAAGGATGGGAATAACAAGCGGATACATGTGATGAATTAGTGTTTCGTGGTAATGTACACAACCTACCTGGGCAGATACATTAACGTCTGTTACCCGCACTCCATATCCTTGTTGGCAAATTATGTTTTTCCAATCAATGAGCCCACATTGTTTTGAACACTCAATCACAATATCAGCTGACGACACTTGTATCACTGGACCTGCATAGAGTCCAGTATAGAGTCACCTGTAGTTTTAAGGAGACTCTAGTCTAACACCCCCCCCCCCCCCTGACCAGACTATTCTTTTCAATGCCGATGTCACAGAAACAAATCAACTCTACTTTACTTACCCCGTTTCGAAAAGGGAACTTAACTTTTTTTTTCTCATAGATGGACATAGAACATGCACGTGGAGATAAATTGCGTTATACTGATGCGAACGGAAGCTGGTGCTAGACACATGCACAAGGTCACATTTGATGACCAAGAGAATGCTGGGTAAGGACAATAGAAAGTATAGCTAAGGCTGCGAGACTTATTAGGGGGGGGGGGGGGCAATGTATTGAGAAAGACTACCCTCTCCCCCAAAGAAATAGAGTTTATACAGGAAACATATACTTTTATCTGTTTCGCCCACCACCACGGAAAATTTAGTGCCCCCCCCCCCCCAGAAGAAAAAAGACTGGAAATGAGCCGACAAGAACCGAGTGCGGTGGAAAAGTGTAGGTAGTCGGTACAGCCCTTTGCTCCTTAGGGGCCTCAAAGAACAACGACAGGGTGATATCAAGAAAATAAATTAATAACGTACCTTGAATTAAAACAAAAATGAAATAAAACCAAGTATCGTCTCCCATGGTTTGAAGTTTAAAGTTTGATCAAATCCAATAATTACAAGAGGACTCAGCACCTCACGGATAATCATTTAAAAATCATTCCTTTCTTAATAAGCATGGTCGGGTTGGTATGGCTCATGGTTGCTGACCCGAAAAGTCCCGAATTCGAACCTTTGAGCAGATGAGGCTCGTTAGCTGGGGACTGCCACTCTTCTAGGAGAGACAACTCCAAAATCAAGCAACTCCTGCCTTGAAGTTTGTTGTTGGTTGGACTAAGGCAATGGAAGCTAATCCAAAATGAAAATCAGGCTGAAACTGGAGAAAACAGCTTATAATTAGCATAGCAAGCTGACACGTAATACTTAATTGTGTTGGAGGAAATCCCTTTCAACATCACAGGAAGGAAGAAAAAACATTATCTTGTCTGCACAAAAGTGTGTCACTTATTGTACGACGGTTTAAAATAAATAGCAATTCATTAACACAATATAGTCTAGTCTTTTATTTTAGAAAAAAATAAACTCTTAATGTTTTTTTGCAGTTTCTACCAGTAAAATAGCACTGGCTTTTAATCAGGAAAAAATATTAACATAGCTACTACTTTTCAACTGTAACTCAAATAAATGCGATTTTTTTTAAAAAATTGTTATGTTTCAAGATAACTTTTTTTAAAGAAAATTCTGCTTGTTAACTTTTGTTACTATCCTTACGATATGAAAGATCTTGACTCCACCCACCCACAACACGCCTCTCAATATTTTAACTCAGCCACACACCCTCCCACAATCCTTTATCCAATTACACAACTAGAACTTTAGCCTGATAGTCCAATATCCCTCTTCTCAAGAGGTTTGACTCGCGTGTCGGGTTAGTTCAATTGTAACGAGTTTTTACCACCAAACCTAAGACGGCGACATGATAACGCTACAGTTGTTGAACTCGACATGGGTGTGGTATAAAGATAGTGTGAGCTAATCACAGATTTATTCCAATTTTTATCCTCCAAATAAAGTCTTGAACCAACTCTGTATCTTGTACATCTCAAGATTTAAGCTAAAAATGTTTGAATAAACATTAGTTTTTGTGAGCTTCAAGCAAAAAAATGTTTAAATTAACATTCGTTTTTGTGAGCTTTAAGCTAAATTTCAATAAGCATTCGTATTTGTGAGCTTTAAGCTAAGTTTGAATAAACATTTGTTTTTGTGAGCTTCAAGCTAAAATAAAATGTGAATATACGTTTGTTTTTTGTTCGTTTATTTTTCAATTTGTCCGCATTGAATATTGTATTTTTATTATAAACGGATTTACTTTGTTAAAAAAGACATCATCACTTTGTTTCTGCCTTCATTAAAGAGTGTACAGGAAATAATTTTTGTATCGACTTTGAACTGTTCTAAATCCGACTGTTCTTGGATTCAGTTGAAGAGAGAATTGACTTAAAACTTAATAAGATGGCTCTTTGTAAGTGATTTTTGCCCTTGACCTTTGACATCAAACAAAAAGTAAGTAGTAAGACCCACCTCTAGGCCAGCATGTGATGTTAATTTTACGCTGAGACCTTTCAATTAAAGATTTGGCCGAGTCAACACAGCTCATAATGAAGAGACCTCTCAATTGAAGCTGGCAGAGTAAACACAGCTCACCAATATTTTGTAAACATGTAAAATGTACAGAGATCTTGCACACAGAAAAAAAACAGCACATTTTTTAACCACCCTCCCCTCCTCTCAGTTCGTAAAACTCTATTTAACTTTTCCTTTAACCCACACGTCACGTTATCTACATGTCACCCTACACAGAAGTCTCAACAGTTTATTAGGTCGACTAAAATAAATAAAGTTCAGATAGGAAGAAGTAAATCAAAAGAAAGTATAATGAAATGTGCAACCTCCCCCTGCCTGCTTAAAGGTATGTGCGCGATGTTATCCAGTTAACGAACATTTTGTGGCTGTCAGAAAAAAAATAGTGAGTGATCAAATTAATTATAATCACACTTATCTAATGAATAGTGTTTGCTTGTTGACTGGCAGCGAGCTGCTAAAGCTTGTTTAGTAAATGCTGATAAAATAGAGAGGGAAGCAGAGAGAGGTTAGCCAAAACATTGTTCCATTGTTTGGAACGAGCTGACCCGCGCCGTAAGTATACGTCGCTATTTAGTTGTTTTATTGTCTACTTTTCAATAATTTATAATTTGTGAATTACCTCCCCTTAGTTTCTAATCGTTTAATAACTAAATTATCTGGCCCTAATAGCAGTCACTAATTCGACCCGGCTCTACCAATGCAAATAGCTCACCAGACTGGTGGGGGTGGTAGCGATATGGTCTGTTGGGCATGCCTTGAGAGCGAGGGAGGGGGGGGGGGTAACGGCGTGCGTTTAAGTGGTGGTGTACCACATGGTCACCATGAAAAGAATCATATAAATAGATCAGTATATTTTTAAGAACATGTGGTACAAATGTATTACTCAAATCGTAAAAAATCCCCTAGACCCCATTAAAAAATCCCCAATACACGTACAAACACAGAACACACACAATATAATTAAAAACGTAAAAAAATCACATCAGTCAACATTTAATAAAACCTTATATATGATGGTTATATAAGTAATTTATCTAAATTCCAGTATTAAAATATATTAAACATAGCACATATGAAGACCCCGAAAATTAAGATTATTTCTACACATTCAGCAAACAACAATCCCTGTAGGGCATCCTCAGACAGGTCCACCCCTTCTAGTAGCCCATCCTCAGCGGCATCCTCAGCAAACTCATACCCCATCAGTGCCACCATTGCATCGAGTTCTTCGTCCGTCATCACCTCCTGGGTCAAGGGGTCAAACAGCTCTCCCAAATCCTGGCCCAACTGGCCCTCCAGATCCACATTGTCGATCTCTAACAAACCGTTCAATCTTAAAATTAGATTACCTTCCTGGCCGTCCACTATAAGAAAGTCAGTCTCATCAGATACTTGGGCCATTAATTTGATTAATTCACTGACTAGCTGCTACTATCTCTGCTCTAAAATATTGAAATTTTTATAGTTTTGAAACTTTGCTGTTTTTGTTAAAATTAAAAACTGAAAACATTGATGTATATAGATTTCAGTTGAAACTGGAGACTTTCTTGAAAGGTCCTTCTTGTTTAATAGAGTTCTTCTAAATCTAAATCACGAGTTGACTGTGCTTTAGCGGGCTCGATGAGTCGGCCCCTGATGTGTCGGACACTGATGTGTCGGCCACTAATGTGTCGGCCCCTGATGTGTCGGCCACTGATGTGTCGGCCACTGATGTGTCGGCCACTGATGTGTCGGCCACTGATGTGTCGGCCACTGATGTGTCGGCCACTGATGTGTCGGCCACTGATGTGTCGGCCACTGATGTGTCGGCCACTGATGTGTCGGCCACTGATGTGTCGGACACTGATGTGTCGGCCACTGATGTGTCGGCCACTGATGTGTCGGCCACTGATGTGTCGGCCACTGATGTGTCGGCCACTGATGTGTCGGTCCCTGATGTGTCGGACACTGATGTGTCGGACACTGATGTGTCGGCCACTGATGTGTCGGACACTGATGTGTCGGACACTGATGTGTCGGCCCTTGATGTGTCGGCCACTGATGTGTCGGCCACTGATGTGTCGGACACTGATGTGTCGGCCCCTGATGTGTCGGCCTTTGATGTGTCGGCCACTGATGTGTCGGCCACTGATGTGTCGGACACTGATGTGTCGGCCACTGATGTGTCGGCCCCTGATGTGTCGGTCTTTGATGTGTCGGCCACTGATGTGTCGGACACTGATGTGTCGGCCTTTGATGTGTCGGCCCCTGATGTGTCGGCCTTTGATGTGTCGGCCACTGATGTGTCGGACACTGATGTGTCGGCCTTTGATGTGTCGGCCCCTGATGTGTCGGCCTTTGATGTGTCGGCAAATGATGTCTAGGGCAATGATGTGTCTGAAGCCCGGTGTTGACTGACATATAAGCCAAGAAAAAATCTCCGTCTATCAGTTCTAGACCTTCTGGAAGGCACTACTGCGGAAAATACATTGAATTATTATATCAGCACGTTATAAAACACTTGAATTATTATAACATCACGTTATAAAACACTTGAATTATTATAACAACACGTTATAAAACACTTGAATTATTATAACAACGTTATAAAATCCTTGAATTATTATAACAACATGTTATAAAACCCTTGAATTATTATAACATCACGTTATAAAACCCTTGAATTATTATAACATCACGTTATAAAACCCTAGAATTATTATAACATCACGTTATAAAACCCTTGAATTATTATAACAACACGTTATAAAACACTTGAATTATTATAACAACGTTATAAAATCCTTGAATTATTATAACAACATGTTATAAAACCCTTGAATTATTATAACATCACGTTATAAAACCCTTGAATTATTATAACATCACGTTATAAAACCCTAGAATTATTATAACATCTTGTTATAAAACCCTTGAATTATTATAACATCACTTTATAAAACCCCTGATAATACTGATATTATTATAACATCGTGTTATAAAACCCTTGAATTATTATAGCATCACGTCATAAAACCCTTGAATTATTATAACAGCACGTTATAAAAACCCCTGAATTATTATAGCATCAAGTCATAAAACCCTTGAATTATTATAACAGCACGTTATAAAACCCTTGATTTATTATAACAGCACGTCATAAAACAATGAATTATCATAACACCATGTTATAAAACCCTTGAATTGCAATATTTAATTAACACAGACTGTCTTTGTGAGATTTACTCGAAGTGCCATTCATTAGTTTACTAAAGTTTACTTACTCAAACCTCATCACTGTACTAATAAACTATCACTCTCAACCTTGTTAATTTGTTTCATTTTGTTATCGAGACCGGATGTTATTGTTTGAAAAAAAAAACATCTAAAAACTATTAAACAGGAAGTACAAAACAAAATAAATCGACTTCATGGGATTCCCCATTAAACCTTTTATTAATTCTTAATGATAGGTTTTCCAGCTGCTTCGTTTCTTTAGCTATCTCACGCGTTTCTCCATTGAACGCTGACTCAGAGGCGTCGCGAGGCGGGGGCGGGGAGGGGGGGGGGGGGCGGACCGCACCGGGTGACACCATTTAAGTTGGTGACACCATGGCGAAAAATTGCACAAATATATAGATGAAATATTCTTTTCGCCAGTTCAATTAATAATTAATAAGATTTAATCCACCTGACTATAGATAAACATCTTTCTACTAACTGTGCACACATTAAAACTATCATCCGGGGTTAAATGTGCGACACCAACTCCAAAATTTACTGAGGACAGACGTTTTTATTAAGTATTTTAAATAACTGATACATCATTCAACGACCGGGGAGAGGTGACACCAAAATCTAATAATTTACGAAAGAAAAACCAGTGATTTTTCCACTAGAATTAATAGGTGGATTAATATAATGTGCGCACAAATTGACGCCATTAGACAAAAGGAGAATTGGGCGGCACCAATTGCAACTATATATATATATAGGTCTATGTATACCTTCATATATGTGTGTGTGTAATTTTTACTGGAGGGGAGCGAGGGTGACACCATAAGGTGCCACACCAGGTGACACCCGACCTAGCGTCGCCACTGCGTTGACTAAGACGTTTTAGCGACTCTTAAGATTGTGGTCAATTGTTGAGCATTTCGATTCGTCTTTCTTGAAACCCTACAAGCTTAGCTGAAAGCGTGTGGTCCTCTTTATTCATTTCAATTTTTTTTTGGATCAAAACCGCTCTTAGGGGAAATAACCCAAAAAATTGTCTGAATGTGCGGCATGTAGGAGTTGTCTCGCCTCCATAAATTCACGGGCAAGAAAAGAAACAAGATTTGGTGCCCATAAATGATGCATAAACTTGAAATTATGTATTACCCCATAATATATAACCAATATCACCATAGTATCGAACCACTTTTGGTTATATGTATCAAACCACTTTTGGTTATATGTATCAAACCACTTTTCTTGCATATATCAAACCACTTAGCCCTAGTGAGCATCTTTTCATTTTTGCTATGAAGAGTGACCCAAACTTTACAAAAAACATAACACGTATAAAAACAAAAACTACAGTTCATTACTTTAGTTAACAATGAATGAAACTCGAGTCTTTGTAACAAAAATTAACAATAAATTTATTCATCTCATCTTCTCCAATCTAAAGCAGTTTCCTCACTCAGCACTGGGTTCACGGTTTTGTAAGGATTGCACCAGACCATTCATAACACTCAACTGCACAGACAGCATCATTTGAATGGCCTCGGTTTTCTTACGGATATCTTGTTTCAATAAATCCTTTTGTTCTGGCGTGTCCTGGCTCAGCTCTACTAAGGGCACGGGAGGGTCAACAGCAGGTGCATCATCTGCCATGGAAGGGCACAACCACTTGGCGGAGTTGCGTTTCTCGGGAAAAATCTCAATCATCCAACGGTAGACCTCTTCCTTAATGGCCACGCTGTCAAAAAAAATGTATATCATTATATATATATATATATATATATATATATATATATATATATATATATATATATATATATATATATATATATATAATTATTGTAATGCTCATTTTTAAAACTATATCTGTAGGCAGGTCAAAGCCCTGAAGGAAACATTGATTCTTACCACGCCATACACAAGCCATAAGGCAGGCGATGGACTATACTTAAATATCCGTTATATTAGACTGAAATAATGGGCAGAACGCGGATCTCAAAACAATAATGATCATCCCCCTAGCAAAACCAAAACAAAAACCTACTCTAACTAAAACACCATACTAACTAAAACACCACATACTAACCTGAACACCACACACTTACTTAAACACCACAAACCAACTAAAACGCTACACAATAAGTAAAACTGCCCACAAACTAAAATACACTAACTAAAATTCTTCAAAACATCGTTATAAACCCCACACACGCGAACCCCCCTCACCTGCATCGCTATCTAAATAAACCACCCCATCCTAAGTTTTGAAAATATAACGTTAAACAGATCTCCCACAATCAAACGACAATCAATCATGCTAAAAAATAGAAATAATCATATGATTGTATCAACAAAAGTAAGAATAAACAAAAATGCGGGTGGTATCAACAACAATAATAATAAACAAACATAAAAGATGGTAAAAAGTGAGAATAAAGTAACATAAAGGATGATAAAAGCCAAAGTAAGTATAACCAACATCCAGAGTAACTTACATTTGGTCCTGACTTGCATGAGCTATCACCTTCAACAAAATTTTACTCCGAGACTTTTCCTTCAGCACCTCCAACATAGCCACTCCTACTTTCATTATTTCCCATCCGTTGATCTCATACACCTCCAAGAAATAATCTTGAAAGGTCTGCAGATAAAGACATTTTTAGTTATACGTCGGTCAGTTTCTAACTCAAATCTTTGTTGAAGTTAAATACAGATTTAAAACTTATCTTAACCAGTCTGCTCGCCAGTTGTGTTTATCACTATCGATGCTTTTTGTGTGATGTGCTAATATCGATACACGATTAGGCTAACTAGAGATGTAGGTGGTTTGGGCTAAGGTTAGGCTAACTAGAGGTGTTGGTGGTTAGGACTTAGGTTAGGCTAACTATAGATGTAGGAGGTTAAGACTAAGGTTAGGCTAACTAGAAATGTAAGTGCTTAGGGCTAAGGTGAGGCTAACTAGAAATGTAAGTGCTTAGGGCTAAGGTTAGGCTAACTAGAAATGTAAGTGCTTAGGGCTAAGGTTAGGCTAACTAGAGATGTAGGTGGTTAGGACTAAGGTTAGGCTAACTAGAGATGTAGGTGGTTAGGACTAAGGTTAGGCTAACTAGAGATGTAGGTGGTTAGGACTAAGGTTAGACTAACTAGAGATGTAGGTGGTTAAGACTAAGGTTAGGCTAACTAGAGATGTAGGTGGTTAAGACTAAGGTTAGGCTAACTATAGATGTAGGAGGTTAAGACTAAGGTTAGGCTAACTAGAGATGTAGGTGCTTAGGGCTAAGGTGAGGCTAACTAGAGATGTAGGTGCTTAGGGCTAAGGTTAGGCTAACTAGAGATATAGGTGGTTAAGACTAAGGTTAGGCTAACTAGAGATGTAGGTGCTTAGGGCTAAGGTGAGGCTAACTAGAGATGTAGGTGGTTAGGACTAAGGTTAGGCTAACTAGAGATGTAGGTGGTTAAGACTAAGGTTAGGCTAACTAGAGATGTAGGTGCTTAGGGCTAAGGTGAGGCTAACTAGAGATATAGGTGGTTAGGACTAAGGTTAGGCTAACTAGAGATGTAGGTGGTTAGGACTAAGGTTAGGCTAACTAGAGATGTAGGTGGTTAGGACTAAGGTTAGACTAACTAGAGATGTAGGTGGTTAAGACTAAGGTTAGGCTAACTAGAGATGTAGGTGGTTAGGACTAAGGTTAGGCTAACTAGAAATGTAAGTGCTTAGGGCTAAGGTTAGGCTAACTAGAGATGTAGGTGGCCAAGGCTAAGGTTAGGCTAACTAGACCTGGAGATGGCCAAGGCTAAGGTTAAGCTAACTAGACCAGGAGGTGGCCAAGGTGAAGGTTAGGGGGTCAACCATTTATGACGTTCACACGGGAGGGTTTTCCGAAAAAAAATCGAGTTTTGTAGACGCGTGTAGACTGGGAGGGGGGGGGATTAGTGACAATGTGGACGTCCACGTGCGGAATAAAACCACAAAATACTTACATTTGAAGGTTTTTTAAAATAAATTTGAAAAATGCATATAGATTTAGATTATACATCAAATTGTCAGTTCGCATTGTAAATGTATTAGTAATTTAGCTGTATACCGCCAGCCTAAGAAAAAAAGCGATTTTTTTTTACAAGCGGGAGGGGATGGGACAGTGACTAAAAACAATTCTAAAACAATTCATGGTATTTCAAATTTATTTTTAAACATTTCAAATAATTATAACTAAATCAAATTAGGCCAACATCATTATTTTGCGTCAAAACCTAAGATGATGTAGATATAGTCATTTTTTTTTCAAGTAAAACTAAAAAACTCAATGTAGCTATAACCACGTTACAATTAGATATCTAAATAACAGTGTGTAATGTTTTTGCTTGGTTAGGTGTGTAGGGCTAACGATCAGCGCCACCACAAAAAAATGGAAGAAGCGGTGTGTTATGGAAATTAACGCGGCGTAAAGTTGAGTAAAAGCAATATAAATAATGACGTCACGTTGATTGGCCGAATTCACCCGAACCCATGTAGTCGTTGATAGCTAGATAGCCACGAATGACAGTAAAAAGTTCGGTCTACAGCATCTTCAGTTTTTTAAAAATTATGACTGACTGCAACCTCTGACTCTTTATGAAAAATAGTGGGTAAAATGCCTTTAAAATCCCAATGAGAACACTCTTTCAATAAAGAAGAATTTTATATAGTCTTAGCCAGAGGCGTAGCGAGGGGGGGGGGGGGGGGTGCGGACCGCACCGGTGACACCAAGGCAAAAAACAGCAAAATATATAGAGAAAAATGATAATTCTACTTAATTATGTGATGAATTCGAGTGTTAAATAGTGTTTTAAGAGCTGCAAATCGAAAGTTTGGGGGGGGGTGCAAATCGAAAATTGAAAGTTTGCCCCCGGGAAGGGTCGCTACGCCTCTGGGGGGTGACACCATTGAGTGCCGCACCGGGTGACAACCGACCTCGCTACACCACTGGTCTTAGCACATTCCCACTGTACATTTAATTTAAACATGAAGTAGACTTACTGACATTTTGGAAAAGTTTAACCCCAAATTATTATTAAGGCCTAGATCTAGTAATAGATCTAGATCTAGGTGCTAACGAAAATATCAAATCCCTATATTACATTATCAGTTAATGTACACATTGCATGCAAATGAATTAGTTATGTTTGCATCATGTTTAGATATACTATTGTTTACTAATCTTTTGTGGTCGTCCACAATGGGAGGTTGGGTTGTCGAAAGTAGGGGAGAGAGGTGGGGGGGTATAAAATTCCAAATTTTTGTGGTTGTCATAAATGGATGACGCCTTAGGCAAAATATAAAATGTAGTCAAGTCTAAAGTTGGACCAGAGTTTATCATAAAGATACAAGTAGCTAATGCAAATTCAAGTGCTAATCAGCTAATGTGATAGATTTAGATCTAGATTCTCTAGATCTAGATCTAGATCTAGATTCTAGATCTAGAAGTTACCATAGTAATAGAAACTACGAGCTACATGAGTTCGTTATTCTTGCTTTAGAAGTAGATCTAGATCTAGATCTAGATCAGATCTAGATATCTAGATCTAGAATCTAGATCTAGATCAGATCTAGATATCTAGATCTAGATCTAGATTTATCTAGATCTAGATCTAGATTTATCTAGATCTAGATCTAAAAATCTAGAAAATTGAAAAATGTTTGATCTCTTTTAATTAAATTTGGCTTTTATATCTAGAATCTTGATCTAGATCTAGACTCTAGACTCTACTAATGATAACTAATCTAGATCTAGGTCTAGATCTAGAACCTAGAATCTAGATCTAGACTAGAATCTAGATAGATCTAGAATCTAGAAATCTAGATCTAGAATCTAGATGCTAGATCTAGATTCTAAATCTAGAAAGATCTAGAATCTAGATCTAGAGATCTAGATCTAGATTCTAGATCTAGATTCTAGACTAAATCTAGATTAGATCTCGGTAAAAGCAGGGCTTGAAAACATGCATAAACTTGAAATTATGTAATACCCACAATTAGAATCTATCTAGATCTAGATCTACCTGGCTCTTTCGCGTATTTCAAATACCGAATTAGATCTAAGTTATAGATTATCTAACAAAATAATGAAACTTTTTGAAAGGGATTACCTTATAGATCCACGTTATAATCCGTGCACATTCCAGCTCAGCTTCAGTTTCTGGAACCTCGCAGCTTTTTTTTACTGGCTGTTCGTTAGGGTTCTCCTCTTCCGCTTTCCTTTTATCAGGCTGTCTCCCATTATTACTTTTATCAGTTTCATCTTTCTCCATTTTGTCTTTGAGGATTTTTTATCGAAAAACAGCAACAACAAAAGGACTCAGGTCTAGCTTAGGATTAATCGTTAAAACCGCTTGGATCGTGCTGTCAGACGATTAGTTTAACTGTGCAATGTCTCGCGACATCGTGCGGTGCTTCCGCCTTTTCAAGAATCATAAATTCCCGATTGTCAAATCAAAATGGTGCGTAAATCATTGCACTTACAAATCGCGTAGTGCACGTCATGCTGATTAAGTTTATTTTCTCATATCATTATCATTGCATTTTAAATAATGAAAATACAATCGAAATCAATTTATAACACGGGGCAAGGGCGAGATGTAAATTTTCGAATCATATTAATTGTTGTTAGATCTACTTCTAGACTATGTAATGTTATGTACTGGAAATTCATTGATTCCCATTAATCCATTATTCTAGGTATTCACTTGACAATTTTAAAAAAATCATAAATTCCCTATTCACAGCTAATGTCCTAAGTTCAAAACAATTTGGCTCATATGGCTCTAGATCTAGATCTAGAATCTAGATCTAGACTAGATCTAGATCTAGAATCTAGATCTAGACTAGATCTAGATCTAGTAGAGCTAATAATGCTTCCTCGGGAAAAAGTTTTGTGGCGGTAAGATTATTAATTATTTAAAATCGAGATTTTGGATTGGCTGTTAAATATAGATTCTAGATTGTATTATTCTAGATCTAGATCTAGGCCTAGATCTAGATCTAGGCCTAGATCTAGATCTAGATTTTGATCTAGATATAGATATAGATATAGATATAGATCTCTAGTCTTGATCTAGAATCTAGACCTGATTTCTAGAACTAATCTAGATTCTAGATTTACTTATTTAGCCTAGGCCCTAGGCTCAATGACTAGCAGAGTTTCTTCCAGGCAAATTTTTTACCGCCCCCCCCCCCCCCGAACGAAATTAAATTAATATAATTTATATAGAAAATATATACTTCAGTGTACGCCCCCCCCCTCCCCCGAAGAAAGTCTATCGCCCCCCGAAAATTTCAAGTGCCCCCCCCCCCCCCCCCCGGAGAAAAAAGTCTGGAAGAAACAATGATGACTAGCAATGTTGGAATGACTTCACTTAATTCTAGATCTAGATTTAACTAGATTCTAGATCTAGATCTAATCTAGATTCTAGATCTAGATCTAGATTCTATCTAGATCTAGATCTGTATTTAAACTAGAATCTAGATGAAGACTTCTAAAATTTGACGTTGTTAAGTTTTTTACAAATAGATCTAGATCTATAATCTAGATCTATAAATTAAATTCTACATTAGATCTACATTTAATGTCTTCTATTTTGCTCATTCTTCTTATTTAGCTACGGTTAGAAACTAGACCAGAGTTTCTTCCAGGCATCTCTTGGGGGGAGGGGGGGGGGGGGTCTTCCCGAACGAAATGAAATTTATATAGAAAATATATACTTTAACAGCGCCTGCCACCCCCCCCCCCCCCCAAAGAAAGTCTACCGCTCCCCCCGAAAATTTCAAGTGCCCCCCCCCCCCCCCCCCCGAGGAAAAAAGTCTGGAAGAAACACTGAACTAGACTCGGATTTAATAAAAGTTTAAGCTACTTAGTTTAGTTAGAGTCTATATCTAGATCTAAACTAGATCTAGATTTAGATTTATGATTTAAGACTAGATTCTTAGTTTAGATATAGATTTCTAGTTAGTTCTAGACAATGAATAATATTTAAGATCCATGCCACACATCACATATGATTATGCACTTTATGATAATAAATAATAATATGAATAATCAATAATAGTAGGCCTAAAGACTGATTTAAATAATTGATCTAGATCTAGAATCTAGATCTAGGACTTTCTATGCTATTATAAAACTATAATTCTATATATTAAATTATTAGGCCTAGGCCTAATTAAAATAATTCCCTATATTATTATTATTATATTTAGATCTAGATCTAGATCTATTTGTTTAGTAAAGTTTAGTTAGAATCTATTTAAGTTTTAGTTTTAGTATAAAAGGTATCGAACTAGATCTAGTAATAATAGTAGCCTAATAGTAAAAGGCAAGGTTAATACTAATAGGCCTTATGTAATTATAAGTAGGACTATTGACTATTCCATAGCCATAGAGTATGAAATTATAACTATAACTATAAATATATTTTTATTAATAGTAAATTAGTAACTATGGAGTTAAATCTGGAACATATATATCTAGTAAGTAACCTGTTTTACTCTATGGAGCCGAGACATGGAGAATAACTGCTATAAATAAGAAGAAAATACAATCATTTATAAACGCATGTCTCAGAAAGATCCTGCGAATTCGCTGGCCTAAAACCATCAGAAATGATGTCCTATGGCAACGGACAAATCAACTGCCAGTGGAAGTAGAGATCCTCCAGAGAAAATGGAAATGGATTGGCCACACACTCAGGAAGCCTGTATCCAGCATAACAAGACAGGCCCTCACCTGGAATCCACAAGGCAGGAGGAAGAGAGGCAGACCAAGAAAGACCTGGAGACGTGACCTGGAAGAAGACACCAAGAAGATTGGATACACCTGGGGACAGTTGGAGAGACTAGCCCTGGACAGAGACGTCTGGAAAGCTCTTGTCAGCGGCCTATGCCCCAGTAGGGACGACAGGCAAACATGACATGACAAGTAACCTAGTTACTACAGTAGGTAGTTAGATCTATATATAACCTATAATAGTCATAGGACAAATCTAGCTAGATCTAGTGACAATCTAGTCTAGTAAAAGTATTTAGTTAACTCTAGTTAAGCAGACCTACTCTCCAGTATAGGGCCCGACTCTTACTACAAAGTAGCCTACCTACTAAGCAGTTATGTTAGGGATCTTTAGACCCAAACCTTCATATTGCAAATAATCAATTAAAAATATGTTTTTATATATTATATTTAGATCTAGAGATCAATAGTTACTGCTTAAGTAGATTTAGGAAGTACATTGAAAATTTAGTTAAATAGTAGATCTAGTCTTCTTAAGTCTTCAGTACACAGCTAATAGATCTACAAATTACTTAACTCACTATCAAGCAGTAGCAATGATTCTGTCTATTGCTATTCTACAATAATTACAGATTCACTGATTACAATATTTTGTTGCAAGTGTTTTTTTACTTTCTCGTATATACGAAGTATAGAGAAAGTCTTGTAATCGTGCAAAAAAAAAAACAAATCGAGATTTTTGCAAATCTCGACGTTTTACATCTCACTGATACGGAAAAACATAATTTTGCAATCTTGTCCGTATGTCTGTGTGTCTGTGTGTGTGTGTGTGTGTGTGTGTCCGTGTGTAAACACGATAACTTGAGTACCGTTACAGCTAGGTTGATGAAATTTCATATACAAGTATTTTATCAAAATCGTAGATCCGTATCAACTTTTGAGCGATTTCGGATAACCGGAAGTGGTACTTTTTCTACTTTGAATTTTTCAAAAGCCTATAACTTGAGTACTATTTCAGATAGATAAATGAAATTTGATATGTAAGTAAAAGATCTAATTCTCTACCTTCTGTCAAATTTTGAGAATTTTTCGTTGACCGGAAGTACTTATTTACGCTACTTCCGATTTCTCAAAAAACTAATGTAAATTTTAAAAGTACTAATAATATTGCGCACTATTATCCGCTTTTCTATTCGCGTTCACTTGGTGTGCAATTAATTTGTCTACGAGATTTTATTCTATTTTTAAAACTTTAAGTATTTAAAATGGATTAAAAATCATGTCTAGAAGTCTATAGCCCGAGTTCCCATCCCCTGTTATTTTACATAAGAATATTCGAGAAAGTTTAGGGGAGATCACTCCCGGTTTATTATTATTGGTAGGCTTAATTGTATGTAATTTTAAACTGATTTTAATAGGAATTTCTGGGTTTGAAATTAGTGTGTATTTTTATTTCTAGCTTACCTGGAAGAAATAAGTGCACATTGTAAACATTAAACACCGGTCACAGCATATGTTCCATGAAACATTGAAAACCTAACCAAGATTGTAAAAACAAAATGTGATATCATCCCATGATGTAGATCCTAATAAGATATTGGATTGGATTCAAGGGAAAAAAATATTTTACTTTAAAAAATAGCTTAATATCTTGTACAAAAAAGATAAATCATATGCCTGTACATTTTAAAAATTATTTTAGTCAATAAAAGTTAGAGGTTAATATTATTTGTGTTTATACTTTCATTTAGAGTTATTTATTTATTTTTTTATGTTATTTTTATGTTAATGCTTGACACTAGTGTTCCATTTTTTAAATCTTGTAAAAACATTTCCAAATAAAACATTGTATTCCTCTGCCATAATAGCATATTATTTATTTCCTTATCAATCAGTATTTAAAATTTTAAACAAACAAATACAAAGAACTGGTAATAAAACAATACATGAGCATCATCATTCCTTTGGACCCCTTGTGGAGCATAGCGATGTAACAACTCTTCATCTTACTCTTGACTTACTTGACTTAATCCTCTTTGCTCTTTATGGAACATAGGGCCTCCACCACATTCTTCCATTTAATCTTATCCCCGGCTATAAATTCCGCAAACTCCCAAGACATCTCTGTTGGCTTTCGGTTCTTTGAGAAGACTCCGCTCCAGGTCTGTCTTGGGTGCCCTCTTTCCACTTTCCCTGGGGGGTTCCAGTCAGTTTTGACCAATGCATTATTAGGGTCCACAACATTCTGGCTGACTCTGCTTCACAGATAACTGACTTTTTCCAAGTCTGTTTTCTTTTACCTACTTTTCTCTTTCCCTGGAGATTCCAATCCAATGCCTGTCTGCTGATGTAACTTGTTAGTTTAAGCAAGATGTGTACAGTCCATCCGTATTTTCACTTTTGTATCTCTTTGACAGTAGGGTTTTGCCAACTTTTTTTGAAAAAGCTTGGCACTGGATATATTTTCAGGTAACCTCATGCTTAATATGTGATGTCGGGATAAAACAACAGTCAATAAAATGACATTTAGGGACCACGGGAGAGATAATCATACATTACAGAAAAACAAAATAGCACTACAGATAATTGCAAGGATTAATGAAAATTATATCTTTGTTAAATTCAATGTTCTCTTTGAAAATACTTA